AAGATCCATCCAATAGAGCAGATCCCACAGAAATTGGTAGGCAAAGCCTGGAAACCCATCTTATTACAGAGAAAAGCCCATCCTGTAGGAAGTCGTTTGCCATTGGGTAGGGAGATATTTTGTTCAATAGAACAATTAGGTGGGGTTTGGGGAAGGATGCACTCTATGCATAAACAATGTTTTTGGACATCAGTGAAGCTGGCAAGGCTGACTCTGCATGGGACACAGGTCATTCTTACTGTGTAGCCCTATCATCAGTGACCTTAATATAGTCAGCATATTTTATAGAGAGGCCCATAAGATGATTAGCTAACAATTGATGGATGGAGCTTCCTTCTTGTATGCAGAAGGAACTTTTGTTCATAGTATCAACAGCCAATTGTAACCAAAAGGTTTGATTGTTTGTAGAATTTAGGAGGCTTATAGAAATATCCACATTTAAAGTAGCACTTCAATAGTCAGTATCCACTATGGCCCTCTTTTTAAACTTAATAAAATAATATTGTCCTGAATCTTGAGGGTGATCTGAGTATTTATAGATTCCAAAATTTATATGATCCTCTTGAGACTGGTCTGTAAGATTTTTCCAAGGTCCCTCCCTGAATACCAGACTGAAAATTTCTTGATTTTCTTTACACCATCTTATAGGGCCTATTATTGAATCCTGACAGGAGTAAGTACAATTTAATATTAGTGGGGATCTTACAATGGCAGATCCTACCTGAGCTACAAAGGGGTACAAGGTTGGTTGAGGCTAGCATAGCTAACACCCAAGAATACATATATATTCCAACAGGGAATAATTATTAGCATAATGTTTACAATAACAAGGAAAAGCAATAAGAAGTTAATGACAAAATATTAACCCTTAGAAATTTTAAAATTAAAAGGTCCATGCTCAGTCACTTTCCATCTTTGGCAGCTAGATTCTCCTCCAGTGGGTTCTGAAGGTGGCTTCTTAAGCTAAGAATGATGAATCCAAGCAGGAATACCAGCAACTGTGACGGCAGTGGGAATTTGGAGAATCACAATGGAAGGACCTGGGTTCGATGGTATTAGTTTTCAAACATTGTATCAGCACAGCATCGCCAGGTTGGAATGAATGATCAACCCATCTATGTCCAACTGGCTGAGCAGCCTGAACCTGAAGATCTTATCCATGAACAGTTGTGACCCTGAGATTGGAATGTCTCCTAGCAGATCTAGGTGTACTCTGGAAACCATAGGCAGTGGCCGCCCATAAATTATTTCATATGCAGTAAATTTTTCCTGATAAGGAATGCAATGAGCCCTCAATAGGGCAAAAAGCAGGAGATTAACCCAGTTAAAACCAGTCTCAAGGATTAATTTAGACAGTGTTTACTTCTATTCATCCTTTCTACCTTCCCTGAGCTTTGAGGGTGGTACACACAGCATAATTTCCAGTTTATATTAATGGCCTTTGAAATCAATTGAGATAATTTGTACATAAAGGCCAGGCCATTGTCAGACCCCAAAATTAGAAGGAGGCCAAATCTAGGAACATTCTCATTTATTAGTTTTTTATCTACTATTTGTGCCATTTCCATCCAGATTGGAAAAGCTTCTGCCCAGCCAGAGACAGTTTCAACAAAGACTAACAAGTATTTATATTCATATAATCCAAGTTTAATTTCAGCAAAGTCTAATTCCCCAAATTTACCAGGTACAGAATCTTAACTACTGTTTCCTTGTGGAAGTTGATCCTTCTAGCATTTACCTGTGCACATGTCATGCAACAATTTGAGATATCTTGAAGCATCCCTCGATGTCCCCGAAGCCAAACATAGGATGAGATTAATTATGACATCTTCTTGGGTGATAAATGCATAGCTGGATGAAGATCAGTTAACCATTTTCTCCCTAGTAGCTTAGATATGCAGATTTTTCCATTTGGGAGGTTCCATCAGCCATGACAGTTTTGTTGGGCACCCAATGAGAAGATAAGTTTATTTTTTTCTGTAGTGTGTGAAGAGGCCTCCTCCCCAATTTTAACTGAAAATTTTGGATAATTGGAGAATTGTTAGATAGTTTGGTGTCTTGGATCTCCAAGGGATATTTCTCTGGCTGTTTGATCAGCCAAGTTGTCACCCTGAGTCTGAGGACTATCATCTTTGCAGTGTCCAGGCCAGTATCTGGCAACCAGATAGATAACCTCCAGTAATTGGAGAATTTCTTGTTTATTTTCAATGGTCTTACCATATGCAGTTAAAAGTCCCCTTTGTTTATATATCTGTCCATGCACATGTGCTGTAGCAAAAACATAGTGGCTGTTTGTGTAAATATTCAC